CCCCCCCCCCCTTTTTTCCCCCCCCCCCCCCCCCCCCCCCGCGGGGCGATTAAACTGTATTTTCCTTTGACTCGCAAGCCTGGTGGATTCACTGTTAGGTACAACCCTTGTCCCTGCAAACAGATACCCCTTTGAGCCAGATGCTTTTTCCCATCCTTTGCAAACAGAAGCTACAAAAGAAAACAAATCAAGCTTGAACCTGCTGTTATACTAACTCTGCACCAGTCACATGCCCATGCTCAGTAATGACAGTGGACACTGCACCATAAACCCTGGCGTTGCTCGGTTCTTCTTCTTCATTCTCGCCTCTCCTCCATGCCCCAACCTGCATATACTGGGGTCCTGCCCATGATTTTCATGTTAACTTCATGAAAGAAATGTCTTGCCTCATGATTATACGCAAATGCAGGTCAAGAGATTCTTGACAGTGCTTGGGACACAGGTTTAGATGTGCACTCGTACCTCCACTAACACTGCTCTTGACAGACACAAAGCTGACAAAGCCTTCATTCCCCTAGGCAGGCAGTGTCACCTCTGGGGAAGCTGCCTGCACCCTCCTGCGAAAAGTGGGGGGAGAGGGGTGCAGAAGGAGGGTGGAAACCAATATTCCCCTCCTTACTTGTTCTCACTTGCAGGCAATTTCTCCACTGTCACTTCATGAAGTCGATGTAAAACATGACATTGGCAAAACCACAAAAATATTTACCCATCAGAGCTTGACAAATCCCATGCATTTAAATTTTGAGGGTTGGCAGTGACATGGCAAATTGGCAGGAAGCACAGCCCAGCCCCAAAATCATTTCTATCCCAGTTCTCTGCCGGCTGCAAAGCGCATACAAGCTGAGCAACTGTATGGCAGGGCGGCCTGGCCATACAACTGATCCTTTCTCCCCCATTTCCTTATGAGGCTCACTTCTTTGTTTAGCGATAGTCCCAGGTGAATTGTGTTTCGGTGATTTCCCTGTTTGCAGTAACTGATTCTCGGGGCCTGATTATACACGGAGTTATTCCAAAACACTAGCGTGAAGCTATTCTAGAAAAGCTACTGTGCTTTAACTTCCCACCCTACCTTAAACCCAGATTAACTTTCAAGCATAGATAAACCACAACTGATTGCAAATACTCTCAAAGTAACTATGCTGTTTGTCCACAGCAGCCTTTAAACTGGGCCTGAGAGTGCATCAGCAATGTGCACGTCCAAGAACAAACATCTGTGCAGCGTCCATGTTAGTCACAGACATGTTTCACGCCTGATGGTTAATTAGCTAACCATTAACCGGAGGTATAAACCCTGGGAGAGGAGGGGTGGGAGAATGCTCCAAACTAGATAGTAACCACTTCACCTTGAAAAGTGACCATATTTCATCACTTCAGGATCTGGAGGTATACAGCTGATTTCAGTCCATCCTGTTAACAACCTGTAAAACTTCAGTTGCACCAATGTCAACCCTGCTCCTCACAATCCGCAAGACAGCATCTAGAGAAGCTCACAGTGCAGCCAGCCAGTGACTTCAGGTACAGCACCAACACCGCCTCTCTGGGGTACATTTCTATAGAAACACAAGTGTGCATCCTCTGGTTTCTTTAATGCACAGTGTAGCTCTTCCTGCAGCAGCTCTCATTCCTTCCCCAGCTCTGAAAGTGGCTATGCTCTCTCTTTTAATGCATGTGCTCCAAGAGTCATCATGCCGTATTTGCCTGCACAAAAAGTACATTTGCAGCCTGCTGTCCAAGGAACCATATGCCATGTACTTGAATCACTTTAATTTCTGACCTGCCTACAGCTGCATCCTTTGCTGTCTGGTTTAACTGCCTCAGTTAACCTGCTTTCACCCATCTGCTCTCAGAAAATTGGGGAAATCTGCATTCAGTCGAGCACCTTGCAAATTACCTGTGTAATGACAGGCTCGGTCAAACGAGCAGCTTTCTAATCCCTGTGTTGGCAGCTAACTAGGTACCAAGTCCCTTCAGCAGGCCTTTTTCAGGATCTTAAAACGTGCTCGAAAAACATTTTAAAATAACAAGGCCCATTACAATCTCTCTCCTAAACCCCTCTCCGTGGCAAGCTTAGATAAAGGAGCTCTGTGATGACAGACTTCATACAAAACTCCCTCCAGCTGCAAGGTGCCCAAATATTTGGGTGGATGGCATATGGAGGGAGTGAAGAAATCAATTCTCTCACGCCTACCACTGACTACTGCACCTGATACTAGTCTGCGTGGCCTGCAGTGGCTGCAGCCCCCCTCTAGTAACAGCTCATATGGCAGGGCTGCT